GTACTTAACAACAGAAAGTATGTAGAAATAGGAAATACAATTGATAAGGAAAAATAATCCTGATTTTGTCACTGGAAAAAAATGGATAACAAAGTGCCTAATAGTACTAAAATAATATACCGAAATGCTGGTAGCAGTTAGCAATGGGCTAAGAGGTAAATTTTATTTATTTTTTTGTTTTCCTGTGTTAGCCTAACTTTTATATAATAAAGATGTACATTTAACTTAATTTTTTTAGTATTATATTTACAAAGCTCACCATTTGATCATTATAAAAGGGGTACAACAACAAACTCTTTTTTCTCCTCCCTCTCCCCGAGACTGGAGTTCCTAGGTAGCACAATTGATTAATCATTCAACTACTAACCAAAAGGTTGTTGTTTTAAACTCACTCAGCGGCACCTTGGAAGAAAGGTCTGGTGATCCACTTCTAAAACGTCACAACCTTGAAAACTCTATGGAATGCAGTGCTACTCTGTACACATTGGGTAGCTGTGAACTGGACTCAACTCAGTGGCCACTGGTTTCCCCCATGCTCCCCAGACACCCCATTCTACTCCCTAAAAGTTACTAGTTTCCTCTATACATTTTCAAGGATATTTTATGTTTATTATTTTCTGTAAATTTTTTACATTTAAATATATTGTTGCCCCTTTTATCACATAAATAATACAGTGTAATGTGTACTGTTTTGTTCTTTGCTGTATAAAAACACATTCCGTTTTGCTATACAAAATTGAATCCTTTTTAAGTCTGTTATTTCACCCATGGATAAGTTCATGTGGAGCTTATAGTCCTAGAAGAGGAACTGCTGAGTCCAAGGGTACGCCATTTGTAATTTTGATCACTATAGTTCTCTGAAGTTATATGCATATGTAACCTTATTTCTTCGGGGCTTTAACGACTTGCGATTTTTTTACATTTCAATTTTAATTCATTTTCATTTATCCTGGTTTAATGGATACTTAACAACAACAACAACAACAAAAACCCCAAACAACAAATTATTTAACATCATCACTCTTCATCTGTCATAGTGGAAATTCAAGCACTGGTGTCCTCATCGGTTAGATCACAGGATCTGGATGCAGATGAGGACATCTTGGAAAGGTTCAGCTTACAGAGCAGATGAATACCATAGCATGTCCTCTGTGTGGCCGGGTACAAGTTTTCCTTGTTTCCAGAGTCACATTGTAGTTAAGAAACAAGTCCTGAGAGTTGAATTCCACTGAAGGGGAAAACACACCTGCAAGTGTGTTTTCCCCTTCAGTGGAACTCGTGGCCCTGGTTGGATTTCCTTTCTGAAACACTGTAAGTTACTCTACTCATTTACATAAGAAGTGGGTTCCCTTGTAATACTGAGGCGCACACGCGTGTGTGTGTGTGTGTGTGTATGAGCTGCATGAATTCGTGTGTGACAATGGGAACGCACATAGGACGAGAAGTGCTTTTCTTCTTGCACCGGCTATGGAGACCTGTAACTCACTGGCGAACATGAGCAGTTGGACTGAAATGTCAGATGGATTTGCACAGCTGACTCAAGTTGCTGAAAAGAGATTTGCATAGTGCTTCCATAAATTGACCCCAGCCAGCCAGCCTTGCTTAATATAGATCCGGCATGAGCTTAGCTGCAGTCACTCCTAGCTGCTCAGCAAGCCCCACTGAGATTCGTGGTGGGTAGCCACTATTGAGACCTTGAAACCGTGTTGACCTGGGACACTTGTTAATTGGGGGCCTTCTTTCCTGAGACTTGTTTTTTGAAATCATCTTTGATTACTTCATATTTCTCATAGAAAAAAAAAAAAAAACACCATGTCAGAACACAGCAAGAACTCAGATCTTGAAGAATTCTTGGATGTGGAGCTTGATGAAGATGAGATCTTGGCCAACTTGTCCCCTGAAGAGCTTAAAGAACTGCAGTCTGAAATGGAAGTTATGGCGCCTGATCCCAGGCTTCCTGTGGGAATGATTCAGAAAGATCAAACTGACAAGCCACCCACAGGAAACTTTGACCATAAATCTCTTGTTGACTATATGTATTGGAAAAAGGCCTCCAGACGCATGCTGGAAGACGAACGCGTTCCTGTCACCTTTATGTCATCTGAGGTAATCGGGGTTTTCTATAGTACAGAGAGACGCCTTCCTAGGGCTGGGCTGACAGGTGGCCATGTTGTGGCTGTGACTTCTCAAGACTCCAGTGGTTTCTTTTCCTCTTTTGTTCTTGCTGTATATATGTATACATACATGGGGGCTTCAAAAAGTATATGGAGAAATGGAATTAAAAGGGAATGGAATTTTTTCCATGAACTTGTTGAAGCCCCTTCAAATATTAAATCATAATATTAAATCTTACTCCAAATTTGAACTTTTCGAAATGTTTATATGGTTTAGTTGTGATGCAAAGGTTCATTATTCCTTGTAGATGTCTTTTTAAAACAGTTTTAAGGGGTTTGCTATGTAAGAAAACCTGTGTCCTACAGTTACGAGATTTAGTGCTTTAATTTATAACCAGAAGCAGTTGTTCTTAACTCTGTCTTTGTTTTTTTGTTTATTTTTTTTCCGTTCTCTTCTGTTTAGAGCCCCGTACCCTCTTTCTGTGGCACATCTAAACATTGGCAGTATTTCATTTACAATTTTATAGTTTTCAAAGTCCCCATGAAGTAAAGCAAAATTCCCAGCAATGAAACCAAATAAAAAAACTCAAAATGCCTGATACTACACCTAAATGCATTAGAGACCAGTAATGTCATTTATAAACTGAGAACTATTTTAAAATAATATTCTGTTGTGTTTTGGGTGAAAGTTTACACCACAAGTTAAGTTTCCATCTTCAGTGTTTTTTTAAAATCTGAAAACTAGATTTGTGTTCCAGTCTGAGTCTACTGTATATCAGTATTATATTTTTCTATGCTTCACTTAAAAATGACTTAACCAAAGACTGTAGAGACCTTCCTAAGTAAAGTCTCCCTCAGTTATGCCTGCTGATATAAAGATCTCATCGTATTACCATCAGGCAGGCTGTAATTAAGGAGTGTTGTACGCTGAGTTCATGGTCAGGAAAGTTTAGACAATCATTGAGCTGAAGAACATAAACTAGTAGCTTGATTAGGTTAGAGTTTAAGGTAAAATTTCCAGGCATATTTCAGTTGGAGGCCAATGGATTAAAAGTAATTCCTATATGAAACCCGATTTCAAAAACTAACTGGATTGGCTACTTTTAACGTGTTCCCCCTCTCTGATAGGATGTAAGTGGTTTGGAGGCTGGCTGCCCCTGCTGTATCAGGTGACAGTTGCAGCAGAGAAGGTTTTTAGATGATTGTGTTGTTGTTGTTGTTGTGAGTGCCACTGAGTCGGTTCAGACTTATAGTAACCTAGTATAGGGTTTCTGAGGAGCAGCTTGTGGAGTTGGATCACTAGTCTTGCATTTCAAACCAACTTTGCAGTCCAGTGTTTATCCTGCAGCATTAAACCAGTGCTTATTTGTTATCTGTCAACGGCAATTCTAGCGGAATAGCCAAACCCAAAGGCAGCCCACAGCCCTGGAATCAATTCCGACTCATAGTGACCCAGTGTAGCATTTCTTAGACGGTAAATCTTTACTGCAGAAGACAGCCTTTCTTTTTCCCACCGAGCAGTTGGTGAGTTTGAACTGCCAATCTTGAGGTTAGTAGTCCAGTGCTTATAACACAGAACAGGTCCTGAGCAAAAAAATCAAATTCTTGCTTGGATGAATCTGTGTTTCAAATTGCTACACCAACTTTCTAAATGACACGTATTGTAGAAAAAAGTATACTAATTGATGGGTTGTTGTTAAGTGCCATCGAGTTGGTTCCAACTCATAACGACCCTCTTTAGGGTCTCTGGAGAGCAGCTAATGAGCTTGAACTGCTGACTTTGCTATCCAGTGCATTACCCTACAGCACCATATTAGGACTCCAGTTGATGGTCAGGAAGCCAATAAATAATTTTAATAAAAGACTGTCATGTTCCTTCCCAGAGTAAGCAATTGCTTTTAAATCTCTCTGCATACTCCCATTTCCTTTTGCTGGTGGCTCTGTCAACTAGCTGCCTCCTTTAAAATTAAACTGGACTAGTGAACTTGTCTCTGAAGTAATCAGAGCATTTTTCACAAAGCTGAGGAGACAAAAGTAAAGTTGAGGTTTGTGGTAAGTTCCAAAATATCCAGTGGCTCTTATTGTCCCCACAATATTATTATGCTTTGAGGAAAATGTGATGTACATGTTTCAGAATATAAATTTTAGTTAGGGCAGTAAGATTATTGTGTAACCCAGGGCTGTTTAGTACAGAGATCCCTATTCAGCTTTGTACAAAACAAAGACTTCAATGTTTTGATCAATGGTACTATAAAGTTTTCAAAACAGAAAAGTTTTGAACTGCCTCTGGAATTGAAGACCATTTAAAAAACAAAATAGAATCTGCCAGAAAATAGAATTGGCTATGCTTTTAATATGGGATGAGATTAATGCCAAAAATGTGTGTTAATATATATCTGAATAAACACCTATATTTTAGTAGTATTTGCTTATAATCTCAAACATTGTAGAATTACATCATGTAGAAAATGGAAGGCCCCCAAATACTTCCTCTCTTCACAATTATCCTAGCAGCTATATCTCATTTATGAGCTCTGGTAGCTTAGTGGTTAGGAATCAGGCTGCGAACCTCAAGGTCAGCAGTTCGAAACTACCAGCGGTTCCACAGTAGAAAGATGAGGCTTTCTGCTCCCATAAAGATTTACAGCCTCGCAAACCCTATGCAGGGTCTCTGTGGGTCAGAATCGACTCAACGGTACTTAACAACAACAACATTCCCTTTATGGAGTCCACAGTGGCACTGTAGTTAATGTGCTGAGCCACAATTTCAGTTTGAGCTTCAAGGTTGGCAGTTCGAATCTATCAGCCTCTCCTCGGAAACCCTCTACAGGGTTGCTATGTGTCAGAATTGACCATCCAGCAGTAGGCATCAACAGTAACAATCTCTTTTACTCAGAGGTAGCCAGTAAATCCAATCAGTGTTCCAACAGATTTGTTTTCCTATGACAAGTGTAATCTTTTACATATTGTATCCATCTACAAATGGAACAATACTGTCCATACTGACTATCGGTTTGATTAATAACAAATCTGTCAGGTTTTTCTTACATCCATTAGGTGCTGCTCTATTGAATATTTCTTCACTGCTAATCTTTCTAACCCTCAACAACCTCTCTTTTAGGAAAACACACAAGAACAACATGAAGAAATAGACAAACGCAATAAAAATTTGTCCCAGTTTTTAAAAGAGAAGCTCAACAGTGAAATAACTGCAAATAAAAGAGAATCAAAGAATGCCAACCTTGTCCAAGAAACAAATAATAATGAAAGTGAAGACGATGAAGACGATGAAGGAGATGAAGACGATGAAGGAGATGAAGACGATGAAGGAGATGAAGACGATGAAGACGATGAAGATGACGAAGACGATGAAGACGATGAAGATGGAGAAGATGACGAAGAAACAAAAACAGAGGGTTTAGCAAAGGAACAAATTAGAAATGGTGAGAGCATCTGCCAACCAATAACTAATAAAGCATTCGAAAGACAGAAAGTCAAACCAGAGGCTCAAGAAAAAAGTGAGAAAAAAATATCAAAATTAGACCCTAAGAAGTTAGCTTTAGATACAAGTTTTCTGAAGGTAAGTGCAAGGCCTTCAGGAAACCAAACAGACCTGGATGGAAGTTTGAGGCGAGTTAGGCAAAATGATCCTGATATGAAGGAACTCAACCTGAACAACATTGAAAATATCCCCAAAGAAATGTTACTGGACTTTGTCAATGCAATGAAGAAAAACAAACACATCAAAGCCTTCAGTTTAGCAAATGTGGGTGCTGATGAGAACGTAGCGTTTGCTTTGGCTAATATGTTACGTGAAAACAGGAGTATTACCACTCTCAACATTGAGTCCAATTTCATCACAGGTAAAGGAATTGTAGCCATCATGAGATGCCTCCAATTTAATGAGACGCTCACAGAACTGCGCTTTCACAACCAGAGGCACATGCTGGGTCACCATGCTGAAATGGAGATCTCTAGGCTTTTGAAGGCAAACAGCACTCTCATCAAGATGGGCTACCATTTTGAACTTCCAGGTCCCAGAATGGTGGTCACCAATCTGCTGACCAGAAATCAAGATAAACAAAGGCAGAAAAGACAAGACGAACAAAAGAAGCAGCAACTCAGAGAGCAGAGACAGTTAATAGCCATGTTGGAGAACGGGCTGGGGCTGCCTCCTGGTATGTGGGAGATGCTAGGCGGACCAATGCCAGATCCCAGAATGCAGGAATTTCTCCAGCCTCCTTCGGGACCTCCCAACTCGAAAGCAGGCCCCTTTAGTCGGCGGAATGAAATGAAAAGTCCTTCACAGCCTCAGCAGTACAAGACAGACCCTGACTCCTTTCGGGTGGTAAAGTTGAAACGAATGCAGCGTAAATCTCGGATGCCAGAAGCCAGAGAAGCTCCGGAGAAAACCAACCTCAAAGATGTGATCAAAACACTGAAACCTGTGCCGAGAAATCGACCTCCTCCCTTGGTGGAGGTCACGCCTAGAGATCAACTCTTGAATGATATTCGACACAGCAACGTTGCATATCTTAAACCTGTAAGTAGACGGAGGGAGACATAGTGAGCAAGCAGCAGAAACAGTGTTGTAACCCTGCTCCCCGTTAACTTCAACATAAGGATACACACACTAGTTGTGACTGAGTTAGTCTGAGTCATTGAGACATCTGGTGGTGTTGTTATGTACCGTGGAGTCGGTTCCAACCCATAGCGACCCTGTACAGGGTTTCCGAGGCTGTAAATCTTTACAGGAGCAGAACGCCTCATCTTTCTCCTGTGGGACAGCTGGTAGTTTTGAACTGCTGACCTTGCAGTTCGCAGCCCGATTCGTAACCACTACGCACTGGTTATTGTTATGGTTAAGTACCGTCAGTTTCAACTCATAGAGACCCTGTATGGAGTTTCCTAAGGAAAGGCTGGTGGGCTTGAACCAGCAACCTTGCAGTTCAAACTGACTTTGCATTCCAGTGTGTTAACCCACAGTGCCATACCAGGACCCCAAATATTGGTTATTTCTGAAGATACACATCTTTATAACTTTGGAACAGAATAATTTTACAGCTGAAATGTATTCAGCATTTACTCTGGGTTAGATTCATTCTCCCAATTAACTCACTGAATAATATTGACAGCTCTCCAAGGTATATACTATCTTCGCACGTTTTGTAGATAAAACCAGAGATTTAGAGACGTTCAGTGGCTTTTCTAGGAGAAACCGCTAGGAAGCAGTAGAGCTCGCATTGAAACTCTGTTCTGAATTCAGGGTCAAGCCTTGTTTACCCACTATTCTGGCAGTGACCTTTCAGAAGCAGATTTGTCTGGCCTTTTTTCTGATGTACCTCTTAGTGAGCTTGAACCTCCAACCTTACGGTTTGCAGAGGAGCATTTAAGCTTTCATGCCTGTCGGACACTTCCACCTGCTGTTCTGAACCCTACTACAGGTACATACTCTGAGTAGTACAGTCACACAGAGCTGTAAGGAATAAACACGAATGAGATCTGTTTAGGCCAGTCATTTGTAGAGAACTGAAGGCCTCCAAACGGTTTAGAAACAGTTGGTTCTATTTTTAGTAGATGAAGAGCGACTGCCTGTGATCACATTTATGTTCTTTGCTTTTAGACAAGCAGACAAATGGTAAACTTCAAGTTAGATTGTGGTGAATGAATGGAGTCTCAAAATATCTCACTATTATTTCGGTTTTAATATTTACTATTATTCATCATACAAGGTCAGTAGTTCAAATCTACCATGAGAGAAAGATGAGACTGTCTGTTCCCATACAGACTTACAGCTTCAAAACTCTTATGCCAGGTCTCTATGAGTGGGAACCAACTCGACGGCACGCAACCACCACCATGAGATTATTCACCATTTCAGCCAATCAAGTGAAAAAGAGCTAGTCCTCGCTGCTTAGATAGCTATGTAACTGGTAGAAATGAATCTTTTGTGTGTGGTTACTTATGATAGCCTTTATGGAGGTGGAAAGTTAGTGAATATGGGCCACAGACAGAAAGATTAACTATGGTATTTTTAAACCTAGTGAGGAATTTAACCAAGAGGTTACACCTACAATATTACATTTTTTGCTTTCTTGATTTTTAGTTAATTATTTTGTTATAGACATTCCCAGTTTGTTTTGTTTGTTTTTTGAGGACTTTTTAAACAAATTTCTATGTAAACTTGTTTTCTTTCCTTTTTAAACAGTGCTATATTCTAAAATATTTGTTACTTATTCATACATACACATGCATACGCACATGAGGGAGGTTTAAAAAGTACATATAGAACTAGAATGGAAAGATCATAACATTTTTCTGCAAACTTTTCTAAATTCCTATGTACCTAGATACATGTTTTATATTCCCTTCTCCTAATACTGCAGAATTAGCAACATTGCATTTTTCTGAACGAGAGAAGACTTGCGTCTGTGATTAAGAGGATCTCTGATTCTCCTTGGGTGGGAGCCAGGTGGGAACACTCCAGAGGTCATACGAGGTCAGTCAAGGGTCCTTCTCATGCCCTTGGGCACAGTCTCAAGACATTCTACACCTGCTGCCCTCAGCGTTGCCAGGCTTCTGTAGGGGGTGGATCCAAGACACTAACTCTACATTTCTTCCATAATCAGTCACTGGAAAAGCATATTCAAACTGCCGATGCTCCCATCAGAAAATAGCATCATTCTGAAGGGAGGAAGGAAAGTAGTTCTTTTAAACCTACATGAAGGGGGACAAGTGGACTCAGAGTAAACGAGAAAATGAAATTCCAGTGATCATTTGAACCAGCTCCCTGCCTTCTGAGGGCAAGTTCTACTGAGAAACATCTGTTTTCCCAGAATGCATTCCATTTCATCCATTCATTTGCCCATTAATGCAACAATTATTTACGTATTGCCTTCTAGGTGTCAGGTACTGTCAGAGGGACCAGACTTGCTGGCTTGATCTCATGGAACTTAACCATGTAGGTTGTTGTTGTGTTATCAAGTCTTGGTTTCAGAGAGTGGCTAGTGGCTTTGAACTGCCAACCTTGCAGTTAGTAGTCCAGTGCTTATACTACATTGCCACATGACAGCCTACACCTGTAGGTGGTTGTTGTAATGTGCTGTTGAGTCAGTTCCTTCTCATAGCAACCTGTATAGGGTTTCCGGGCATTGGCTGGTGACTTTGAACCATCGATCTTGTGTTTCAAACCGATTTTGCGCTCTAGTGTTTACCATACAATGCCGTACCTGTAGGGGTTATAATTTTTCATGGTCAAATACTTTAGCTTTCAGTCCAGCGAAAGACATTAAGATAAATTCATGATAATCACAAAGCCCCATCAATACTACATTTTTTATATTTCAATCAATTTGAAAATGCTATCAGTTTTAAGTTTTGTGGGTTTAAAAAAAAATGGTTTTAAAATGGTCGTTAAGAAAGAAATATATACTACAAAGTAAATGCTGTTTTATGTGTTTTGGAACAATTGTCTGGTGTCTTGACCTCTTTGCTTTAAAATGAGTTTTATCTTTTCCAAGAAATTGGCCAGGTCTCTGGCCTTCTGTTTCCTGGCTTGGCTGCGATAGGCATCTTTGTGTGTGTATCTCAGTTTTAAAATGTCATACAACTTCATCTACTGGGTCCTGTGAATCACACTGCAAGAAAACTGCATGAAAATGCACCGTTCCTCTAATGAAAGTTCGCTTCACTAACTTCAGTTTGCCCCCCGCTGTTTAGTTTTGTGTCTTGTCTGAATACATAATAAATGTTTGCTTGAATGCTGAATCATAATGTGGTCTTTTAAAAGACATTTTTATTCTTTTTGTTCTAAAATAATTTTAGATATACAGATGGTACAGAGTTCCCACGGACCTGCCATATTTTGCCACAGTTGTTCACCATTTTTAAAAAGAGAACTTGAGTGGCAGGATAGCTTCTTGTGTATTGTATGAGCAGAGCACACAGCTCCACAATGGTCACAGCAGAATGAATGGTTAAGACATGTTCAGACTGGTGGCTACCTAGGGCAAGACATCACCAGTTGTAAGATACCTCCTGCTCACAGAGCTGCTGAATTGTTCCAAATGTGAAGGTTAGTCTTACTGAAATCCAGTAGACACCGTCAGTGGGAACATCACAGCACTCCAACAGAAAGGAATAAGATTTAACAACACTCACTTTGTAGAGGGGAAGTTAACGTCTTTGAGTTTCGTTTCCCCTCTGCATTAGTGTGGTGGTGATGATTATGTACCATCAAGTTGGTTCTGACTCATGGTAACCCTGTATAGGGTTTCTGAGGTTGTACATCTTTACAGGAGCAGAAAGCCTCCTCCTTCTCCCCAGGAACTGTTGGTAGACTCCATCTCCTGACCTTGCAGCCCAACACATAACCTACTACACTACCAGGATTCCTTTGCATGAGAGTAATGAGATGCATTCCAAATCCTGGAATTTTCAAAGATGAGGATAAAAATAAAACATATACCAAAAAAAAAAAAAAAAGTGGGTTTTTTTTTTGTTTTTTTTTAAACTGATGCTATTAACCAGAGCATGGAATGTTTAGAACATACTTAGAAATTTTATTCTAAGTAAAAAGTTAATACTCAGTTGTCGTTTTCTGCTTTATTCTTAGAAGATCAGAATTAGAAAATTAGAATTAGAAATACCATTGCTGTGTTTACTAACGCACATCTCAGTAAGTAGGCCATTTGTAGTTTAAGTTGACGTCTTTTCATTGTCATGTTTATTCCTCCCTGCTCCACTCTTATAGCTTGTTGTTGTTAAATACCATCAAGTCATTTCTTACTCATAGCAGGTAGAAATGAATCTTTTGTGTGTGGTTACTTATGATGGCCTTTATGGAGGTGGAAAGTTAGTGAATATGGGCCACAGACAGAAAGATTAACTGT